TGCTCGCAAACGGATCCAGTTTGCACAGATATCCACATCTACTCCCGTTGGATTATGATGTTGATGCCGATCAGAGTTGATGACAGATGCTACGATTGATCGCTGTTGACGACAATGAAATTGGACATTCTCTCCACATTCCGTGCCAGATTGCATTAAGCGTGTATATTGGATGCGTGCATCGGTATCTTCATGCCCCACCGTTGTATCGAGCATATCCTCTTCCAACTCGGGTAACAGTTCCGCGTCTTGACCATGCTGGCCGAGAATCGTGGGACGTAATTTATTACGGACTGTAGCCAGGAGATCCCAGCCGCTCTGGAAATGAAGCAGCCAGATGCATGTGATTAGAGGACTCGTGCTCTTTGCTCTCTACATAGTCAATCATATCGAGCTCCTTGATGTTTTCCTTGAAATCGGTTTAGAGCACTTTAATGACCACGAGATCATCATCCTGCATGTCCCTTGCAAAATTGCACCCCGCCATAATAACCCGAACCACAACTTAGGAGTGGCATTTGTGGCATGGCGGCGCAAGGGTCGGTGGCTGAGCCCAAATGCGCCGCTCTGATTGGTCCAAACCCCCTATGCTTCCGGAAGCAAGAAGACCCTAGCCGAGAGGGATGCGAAAAGTACACAAGTTCTCTGAACCTACATCACCTCACCGCCCTTTCCACCTAACGACAGGAAAAAGACCAGATCAAATACTTGATGCGTACGACACCATAACCCGAGCAGGTTAGCGTGTTGCGTGTCAGGACTCTCGGGTGGAGGCATGGTGCGAAGAGCTCGCATCTTTCGACGCTGTCAAGGTTCGACTAAATCTCAAGTCGTTCGGCCAAAGCACGAGTACTTACGATCCTGAGTGACGAGCTGGGCGAACCTGTCTCCTTCTCCATGGTTTGCCTCTCCTCTGTTTGTGTGGAAAGCATCCCGACAAGCATCAGCTACTTAGGGAATATATGTGATGGCCTGTCTCATGTTGAGAACGATCTGATAAAAGTCACTAAGAGGACATCAATTGCGTCCTGCGGTCCTGCCTTTCTTGGACATCCGACCTCCACATTTGTCGCTGGCAGTGATGGGTTCTTTTGACCTTCTTACCATATGTTTTTGTGAAGGATGTGTTGGAGGAGCTGTTATCGTGGTTCGTCACACCTGGATCAATGCATTTCATTCCCGAGACTTGACCAGACATCTGAACCGTCTTTTACAGCAAGGTCTCATGATGCACTGCAAAGAGAAGACGATCTACCTTAAAGGCGACAGGAGTTGCTCTCTGGGGACCCAGGGACAGTTTCGTGCACAATGGTCCAGGTGTCTCTGCTGTTGCTTGTTGTTGTGCTAGCGAAATCCACTTTGGCGGTATATCCTCTCGTTGACCTCGGATACTCGAAATATCTCGGAACGGCACAGACCAATGGTGTCACATCTTGGTGGGGTATGCGGTTCGCCGCGCCGCCTCTCGGGAACCTGCGATTCCGTGCTCCTGAAGACCCGGTGTACAATGGGACAGTGCAAACAGCGAATACGGTGAGTTCAGTTGAGTTCGATTGAACGTTCTCACCTGAACACTATCCAGCACGGACCGCTCTGTCTTGCAACAGGCGGATTGCCGAACGATACAACGACGTCTGAAGACTGCCTGTTCTTAGATGTCTACGCACCCTCCAATGCCACGGTAAAGTCCAAGCTGCCTGTATTCCTATGGATTCAAGGGGGTGGTTTCAATGCCAACTCCAACGCCAACTACCGCGGAGATGGGATGATTCTTGCATCCGGCATGGACATCGTGGTAGTCAACTTCAACTATCGCGTCAGTCTGTACGGGTTCTTAGCCAGCGAGGAAGTGGTCGCAAACGGCAACACCAATGTTGGCCTGCTGGATCAGAGGTTTGCCGTGGAGTGGGTGCAGAAGTAGATCACCTTGGTTAGTATTCCCCTTCACCTCTTATGCGCGAGCATTTACCGTACTCCAGTTTGGGGGTGATCCCGGACATGTCACGATCGGTGGTTGCAGCGCTGGAGGTGCATCGATTACTTTCCAACTAACCGCTTATGGGGGGCGCAATGACGGTCTTTTTCACGCCGCGGCCGCTGAGTCTGCAAGCGTGTTCACTATTCTCACTGTGGCGCAATCCCAGTACCAATATGACGCCTTAGTGGCTCGGATTGGATGCAGCAATGCCACCGACAGTCTTGCTTGCTTGAGAGCTGTGCCAGCCACAACGCTCCAAGCCAACAACTACTACATCCCATACCCCGGACTTGGACCGAACGCCAGTTCGCCGCTGTTCATGTACGATGCGGTTATTGACGGCGACTTCATTCAAGACTTCTCCCAACGGCAATTTGCGGAGGGAAAGTTCGTCCAGGTACCCGTCATCTACGGGTAAGCCGCTGCCCATGGAGACGTGCACCTGAATAACTTGTAAACAGTGACGATACCAATGGTGGTACGGACTTCGCCCCTAAGAACACGACGGACTATGCACAGATGGACCAATTTCTCATCGATAATTACCCAACCATGACGCCCGACCAGATTACCGCGTTCAACTACATGTACCCGGAGGACATGGAGTTCTTCAACGGAACAGGCGCATTCTGGAGGACGACTAGCAACGCGTACGGAGAATTGGCCTATCTCTGCCCAGGAATGTTCGTCAGCACATCCTATGCGGCCTACAGTACTTTCGGCAGTTGGAACTACAGGTAAGCTCATCATTCAATCATTTTCGACCACCGGGCATTGAGCTTGTGTGCAAGATACAATGTTGAGGACCCAACTCAGATGGCGGAGGGGTACGGCGTGCCTCACACTGTTGAGACTGCTGCGATCTGGGGACCAGCGTACGTCTCCGGAACACCCCCAGCCTCCTACTGGCCAAATGGAACGAACGCGGACATCGTTCCGGTGTTGCAAGGCTACTGGACAAGCTTCATACGGAGCTACTCACCCAACACGTTCCGCTATCCTGGCAGTCCGGTGTGGCAGGAGTGGGTTCCGTCGATGCAGAACCGTCTCATGATCATGACAAATGCGACGGCGATGGAGACAGTGGACATTAACGAGCAGGCGAGATGCGCGTACATCACGGCCAACAGCGTGTCTTGGCTGCAGTGAAAGTCCCGTACAGTAATGCTAACCTGTTCTGAATGAATTGTTGCTCACTCGGAGAGGCTTAGCTCTGACAATCATGCCATGTAGCAGAAACAGGAGATTACAACGGGCAAGACTACTCCTCCTAGAATCACACGACCCGCGACCGCAGCTGTCCCCACCTCTTCATGAGACGTATCTTTCCCCCCTCCAGCTCAAAATCGTTCCTCCCCCTTCCTCTCTTGGGAGATCTTACAGCGCCCAGCTAAGCCAGAACATCTCCCCCCCTGCCCGCCCAACTGGCAAAAACGTCTTGTACAGCATACGCAGGCGGATGATCATCTCCGTCACGCGCTTCTTCCACGCTGAGCGAAGCTGCTCAACCGCTCGCAGCGCCTGAGCAACAGCACATAAGGAGGACGGCCGCACAGAAGCGAAGAGGGGTGAAGGCAAAAGCCCAAGATGAAAGGAGCAGAAATTGCGCAAACCACGTACTGTCACGATCTACATAGATAATCCAACCATGAACAACCCAATACTGTCGTAGCCAGAGTGTTAGTTGGCTTTTCCCCACGCAATGTGCGGTTAACATTGGACTCAATGATGATATAGGAATACCATGAACACGGATTGAGCAACCTTGCCACCTCCCTGACCAATCTCTCTTCTCATTTTCAACTCTCTGGATCATCCAACCATAATCTAACCATATTACTCACCGAATAGGGATGGGTACAATACAACTGACGCGCAACAAATCTGACGGTATGTGGAGGGAAATGAGCTTGATTATTTCTCGGATAGCGTTCGCTTAAGTAGCTGGATAGCATGATTTACAGAATTCGCTACGAATGCAAGGTACTACATAGAATAAATAGTCTTAGTTCAACTCCTCCAGGCTCCGGCCACCGACTGCTTTCTTCATGGCCTCAGCCGCAGCATGATGTTTGTACGCAGCACGACGTTCCTGACGAGGTGCACGGCCTGCACCTTCCGCGTCCCCCTTCTTCGCAATGTACATCGCCTTCATCTCTTGGGAATAGGTGTGGAAGACATCGTATAGCCCC